TCTATTCGAAAATTTTAAATAAAACAGAGTAGCCTAATCCGTTTGCTTGATTTAATTGCTAAACGGAGTTGGCAAATCCGTTTCACTATTTTTTATTTTGTTTACCAATTTTTTTGCCAACAAAGTTGGCTAATCCGTTTACCTTTTTTTAATATAGTTTTCTTTATCATTTTAAATCACCTTCCCTTTTTTGTTCAAATAATTTTTGTTACTTATAAATAAATTATAAAATTTAAAAATAAAATATTTTTCTTTATCATTAAAATATTTTTGTTCATAATTTTTTTTGATAATTTTCTTTATCATTAAATAAAATAATAAAAAATAAGAAAAAATATACTCCCTCCGTCCCTGAGTGTTTGTCCACTTTCATTTTTGCACACCATCCAATGCACTTCTTTAATCCATTTTATCTTGTAATTTATATATTAAAAAATTATAAAAATTATATATTAATAATCTATATGTTAAGACGAATCAAACAAGATCACACATGACTATTTTTAGGCTTACACATTGAGAGAATTTGATAAGTCAAAGTGCTTAGATGAACAGTTCCAAAAGTCAAAAGTGGACAAACACTCAGGGACGGACCAAGTATGAAATTTTTTGATAGAGTACATATAATTTATTCCTAAAAAATTATGTTTTTATGAATAAATTGTTATATGTACTCTAGTCATGGATTGTGTTTTGGCTTCTTTTTTTTATGAATAAATTGTTATATGTACTCTAGTAATAAATTTATTAAATTTTGTCTTCTTCTTTTAATCTCGTTATATAAATACCACTTAAAGTCAATAAATAGTACTGTATTTTTTTAAGATTTTATTATACTCCCTGCGTTCCACAAAACCCTTCCGGTTTTGACTTTGGGCAAAAATAAGGAAAGTGTAATTTTGGTTGACTTTCCAATTTTGCCCCTGATGTGATGAGAAAAAGTAAGATGTGATAGTTTGGTTATTAGTGAAAAAGTATGATGTGATAGGTAGGGTATGCAAAAGTAGGGGTAAAAGTGGTTTTTTAATAGAAAGTGGAAGTGTTTTGTGGAAAGCAAAAAAACGAAAAAGGAAGAGTTTTGTGGAACAGAGGGAGTAATATATTTTTTACATCTTCTTTATGTATGTTTCCTTTATTTTGTAATTAATTTAGTTTCTTATAAATAATTTAAAAGCAACAAAATTAAATTGATTTCATTCATAAACTAAAAATTTAAAAATTTTATAATACCATTTTTCTTATAAAATAAAGTTAAAAAAGTTTAAAAAAAGTTTATAAATGTGGAGTTAATTTGTTAAAAAAGTTTATAAAAGTGGAGTTAAAATAACTAAAAAAAAGTTTAAAGAAAAAAAACAAATGAAGGTGAGCTCCGTACATTAAGAAATTATTTAAAAAAAATAGTGAAACAGAATAGCCTAATCCGTTTCGTAATTAAATGAGAGAAACGGATTAGGCTAATCCGTTTGGGAAAATACATACCTCCAAACGGAGTAAGCTACTCCGGCTTGCTTATTTGGAGAAATTGTAACTTAATGTTACATGTAAAGGAATGGTTTGTGGGGTGTTTAGGGAAAACCCCCTAAATGAGCTGCCCGTTTCTGACTCCAAACTCGAAACCCACTTGTTGGAAGGTGGATGGGAAGGAGCCGGTCCAAGTTTAAGTATTTTGCCTTTTGAGATGGGTTGAACTTTGAAGGTCATGCACTCATGCTTGGAATACTCAAATTTGATCTTACTTTTGATATCATTATTTTATAGATTGTTCTAAAAATTCAATGACCTGGTTCGAGATAGAAAAAATGATCCTAAAAGTTTTCTTGCAAATGATTTAATGAATTAAATTATGTAAATTAAATATATTTAAATGACAATTAATGTAATGATATTATAACAAAACAAGTAAATGACAAAATCATTATATGCCGTTGTTGGAAATCATTGATCGCACAACAGAGAAAATGAACAGAAAAGAAAAACTCATCTTGGATTGAAGAATCTGTTCAACCGAGTACACACCAGAAAACAATGGAGAATATATACAAGAGGAGAGTACAGGAGATGAGAGCTAACAGAAACGTAACAGCCGTAACAAACTAAAACAGATTGTAACAAACTAAAATAGATCACTATTAAGCTATTCCAACACCCCCCCGCAAGTTGGAGGGTATATGGACCCCCAACTTGGCCATGTGCTTATGATGTTGATTGCTGGGAAGACTCTAAGTGAAGATGTCAGCGAGCTGATCCTGAGTAGAAACATGTATGAGAGTAATAATCCCTTCCTGGAGTTTTTCACGCACGAAGTGACAATCCAATTCTATATGCTTCGTGCGTTCATGATAAACAGGATTAGTGGCAATGTAGATGGCTGCTTTATTGTCACAACGAACTGGGATAGGAATGATCTTAGGAACCTGAAATTCAGCAAATAACCTAGATAACCATGCCAATTCAGCTGTCACTCTGCGTATAGATCTGTACTCAGCTTCAGCAGAGCTGAGGGAAACAGTATGTTGTTTCTTAGCTTTCCATGAGATGGGGCTGCCTCCTAAGATTATGAAATAGCCACTAACAGACCTGCGTGTGTTAGGACACGAGGCCCAATCAGAATCACAGTATGCTTCGAGTGTAAAATCAGGAGAATCATTGAAATACAATCCCTGAGAAGGCGCAGAATTGAGGTAGTGAAGAGTGTGTTGAGCAGCTTCCCAATGAGGTAACCTTGGGTCTTGCATAAATTGGCTCAAGAATTGTACTGCATAAGCAATGTCCGGTCGCGTATGAGTGAGGAAATTGAGTTTCCCAACGAGACATCTGTACAAAGAAGGGTTTGGAAGTGGTGGACCAGTGCTGGTTTGCAGTTGTAAATGAGCTTCCAAAGGACAACTGGCATGAGCAGTTGGGGGACAATTAAACGCTGGGAGAAGATCCAAAGTGAACTTGCGCTGTGTGAGAATCAGTCCTTGGTTTTCAGGAACAGCTTCTAAACCAAGGAAGTAGCCCAGGTGTCCTAAATCTTTAATCCGGAAAAGATCATTGAGATGATTCTTTAAGGCTGTGATTTCCTCAAGATTGCTTCCAGTAATGAGGATGTCATCCACGTAGACAACCAAGTAAACCACAGAGTGGGTAAGTTTCTTAGTGAACAATGAATAATCATTCTTAGAAGAGATATAACCTTTGTTATTCAGTACAGTGCGCAGCTTAGCATACCATTGTCGTGAAGCTTGTTTGAGTCCGTAGAGTGATTTGCGAAGACGAAGAACCTGATTAGGGTTGGGAAGAGACATTCCAGGTGGAGGCTTCATGTATATCTCATCATGCAAGTCACCATGTAAGAATGCGTTGTTGATATCTAATTGGAAAATAGGCCAGTGTTGTTTGACTGTAACAGATATGAGAGCTCTGACTGTGGTCATCTTGACCACCGGAGAAAAAGTTTCATGATAGTCGATTCCTTCCTTTTGAGTACACCCGCGAATAACCAATCTAGCCTTGTGTCTTTCTAAAGACCCATCTGACTTGAACTTCAGTTTGTAAACCCATTTGCTGCTGATTGGTCTCTTTCCTTTGGGCAAGTCACAAATTTCCCAAGTGCCTGTATCCTCCAAAGCCTGGAATTCCAAGTCCATTGCTTTCAACCACGCTGGGTCATGCTTTGCTTCCTCATAACTCTTGGGCTCCTGCATATGTGAAATAGTGTGCAGAAAATTTTGACTATGTTTGGTTAGTGCCCCTAAACATATATGTGTGGAAGCAGGGGTGGAAGTAAGAGTGTGAGGACAGGAATTGGACACAGAAGCAAAAGAACAGGAATCTTGGAGGGATGAATGACAAATGTAATCTTGGAGATGAGTAGGAGTTTTGTGGGATCTAGTAGACCTTCTCAAAGCATCAAATGTATGAGTGGGATTATCAAGGTCAGAATTAGGAGATCTAGCATTTGAGGTAGAAGGAACATTATTGTCCAGAGAAGAAGGAGACTCTACAGAAGGAACATTAGTATGATTGACAGACTCCTGATGGGGGTAGTTAAGATTTTGGGAAGGATAATGGGAAGAAGTCTCAGTCACTGGTTGGGTGACATTATGGAAAGAGGGAAATAAAGGATTTGTGGGTATTGATTGTTGATAGGGAAAAACAGTTTCATAAAAGTGAACATCTCTGGAAGTTATAACTTTGTGAGTAGTGAGATCATAAACTTTGTAAGCTTTCTGACCGTATGGATAGCCCAAGAAAACACAAGCTGTGGCCCTCTCTTGAAATTTGTGTCTCCCTGGTTTTGGAGTGGAAACATAGCAAAGACAACCAAATACCCTTAAACAATCATATGATGGTGCTTTACCAAAGAGAACCTCAAAAGGTGATTTTCCTTGTAAAATCTTTGTGGGGAATCTATTGATAAGGTATGTAGCAGTGAGAACACATTCTCCCCAAAATTTTTTAGGAATGTTTGACTGGAATGCAAGCGCTTTGGAAGTTTCAAGTAAATGTTTGTGCTTCCTTTCAACCACACCATTTTGTTGTGGTGTGTGTCTAACACTGGTTTGATGAAGAATTCCTTTAGAGAGGAAAAACTGAGTGAGTGTTTTACATTTTCCTAGCTCTAATGCATTATCAGATCAGATGTTTTTGACCAAGACATGAAACTGTGTGTTGACCATCCTGATGAAAGCTTGAATGATTTCTGGAGCATTGCTTTTGGTGGTTAAAAGATATGTCCAGGTTGCCTGGAGAAGTCATCTACAATGGTGAGAAAGTGTTGGAATCCATTGTAGGTCTTGGTATGATAAGGCCCCCACAAATCTAAATGTATGAGTTCAAAAATGTGAGTAGAATGAGAAGAACTAATGGGGAATGATAATCTGTGTTGTCTAGCCTTATAGCAAACATCACAGCAAGACAAAGAAGAAGTGAGGTTTGTATTATCAAGGAAAGAAAGCTGCTTGAGTTTATATAAAGGTAAATGGCCCAATCTGTTATGCCAGATATTGATGGTGGACTCTCTATCAGATTTATGATTTTGCAAAATATTTACAGAATTGACTGAACATGTGGAGGAAGACTCCAACTTCTGTGAACAAACAGGGGTAATGTAAAGACCACCTTGTCTCCTGCCAAGCTCTACGGGCCTTTTGATTAAAGGACCTTGTAAGAGACAAACATCTGATGTAAAGCTGGCTGTGAGGTCAAGTTGAGAACACAATTTACTCATGGATAAGAGATTAAACTTGAATTCAGGGACAAACAAGACACCTTCAAGTATGATATCAGATGGTAAGTGTGTGGTCCCTGTTTGATGTACTGTGATCTTTTGATTATTGGGTAAAATGATGGAATGGGGAGTGGACAGAGTTTTGAGTTTGGTAAGGAGGTGAGGATTAGCACACATATGGTCAGTTGCACCAGTATCTAATATCCAAGCATAGTCATCAATTGTATGCACATTATTACACATGTGATTAGCCAAAGAATTAGAAGAAGTGAAAAGCATACCAGCCATGTGAGCTGAAAAAGCCTGTGACATGGGATTAACAGAATGCTGAGTTTTGTCTCCATGAAAAGTGTTCATGAACCTGCTGCACATCTCTGGTGTGAATTGCTCATCCAGCCTTGAATCATTCAGCTCAATGTCCTCTCCAGTAAACACATTAGCAGCCACCTTCTTTCCTTTTGCAAACTTAAAGTCCTTTGAAAATCCCACCAGTCTGTAGCATTTATTGGCACTATGACCTTTCTTCTTGCAATATTCACATATAACAATTTTCTTCTCATCATATCTTCCTCTATAAGCATTTTGAGTATTGACATTCAAAGAGGTGTGTTCAGGCACAAAAGGGACAGGAGCTTGAATTTGTCTTTGTTTTTCCTCTTGAATGAGTATTCCATACGCAATGGAAACTGACGGCAGAGGTCTCATAATGAGTATGTTACCTCTAATAGTATTGTAATCAGAGTTAAGTCCCATCAGAAACTGGACTAACTTTTGGTCTTGTTCATGTTTTATAATAGCTTGAGCAGCACCACATGAACAATCAGGTAGATTTGAAACTAAGGCCAATTCATCCCAAAGTCTCTTGATCTTTGTATAATATCCTGCAATATCAAGATTTCCTTGACTTGTGGAACAAATATCCTTTTGTATTTGATACAGCCTGGCACCATTAGACTGGCCGAATCTCTCATCCAGCTCTTCCCAAAGCTTTGCCACAGTGTTCGCATATAGAACTCTATCTCCTATTTCCTTACTCAGAGTGTTTAAGATCCAGGCAGTGATCATATCATTACATCTCTACCACAAAACCAATTTGGAAGGATCGTTAGGCTTACTGACCTGTCCTTTAACGAATTGTAACTTGTTCTTCGCAGAAAGAGCTATGGTCATCGACTTCTGCCATGAACCGAAGCCATCACCTTCGAATTTGTTGGAGATCAGCATAAGTCCCGGATGATCTGACGGATGTAAGTATAATGGATCTGAAGGATCGATGGTGTTGTGTGAATTTCCAGTTGACGTCATTGAAAATACGAATCAGAAGCGGCGATTGAAGATCAAAAACTGAATCCTGAATTGCAATCGTAAATCCTGAAGAAGACGATCGCAAGGAGATGAATCGTAAGAGCGATCAAAGAAGCTCTGATACCATGTTGGAAATCATTGATCGCACAACAGAGAAAATGAACAGAAAAGAAAAACTCATCTTGGATTGAAGAATCTGTTCAACCGAGTACACACCAGAAAACATTGGAGAATATATACAAGAGGAGAGTACAGGAGATGAGAGCTAACAGAAATGTAACAACCGTAACAAACTAAAACAGATTGTAACAAACTAAAATAGATCACTATTAAGCTATTCCAACAGCCGTAATAGCTAACCGAAGATTCATGAAGTTCTCATCGCATTCTTGACAGCAAGTTGTTGGTTCCCTTGTGTTTTAGTCCCATTATTCTAGTGTTGGCTTTATTTTTGACAAAAACCATGTGTATTAGTTTTTAGAAGAATACTCAGTTTGTCCTAACTATGTGGTTCATAGAGCTGTAGCATCCTGTCTGTCACTCTCATAAGTCCAAGTGAATCTGGGGTGTTGTTTACCAAGCTGAAGGAGGACTCTGAGCTTCGCCGTTACCTTATACGCTACAAACTCTAACGTTTAGTATGGACATGTGTGGAATTAGAAGGAAATTATATCAAGGACTCTACTGGATAACTATGCTTTGTAGGTAGAGTTGTACCGGAACTCTACTAGGGTTGATCTCGCCTTGAAGAGTATAAATAAAGGGAGATCTGATTGTGCATGTGTGCGAATTCTAAGAGAAAATCAGCCAAGAGAGAGAGAGAGTTCTAAGAGCAAAGCACTTCAGCCAAGCAGATCGAAGGTTTGAGTATCGCTAGACTGCAGAATAACCTTTCTGCAGGAAGATTAACGTGCGTTCCAGACAGTTGAACTGAGAAGTACTGGAGCGTAGGCCAGGAACACGTCACAGATAAGTTTCTTAGTGTTTCAGTCTCGGCATGCATACATAAACCGAGTTTATTGCATTCCCATTGAGTTGTAGAGTTTAGATCAATGAATAGATCGAGTATATTGACATTGAGGGTGTAAACTCTGATTTGATATAGTGGGAAGGCTGTTACACTGACGTGGGCCTCGCAAACGTAAGAGAATTTTCTACGAACTGCGTAAACAATTTGTGTGTTGTGTGCTGTTCTTTTCTGATCTTAATTGTTTACTTAAAGGTTGGTGTAGCACTTTGTCTGATAACTTGGTCTTAATCCGTGCTACAGCATTCTCTGTCACAACTTGCAAGTCTTAGACTTTTTACAGGTTGTATACTGAGGGTAGTGAAACTTTCAATTGGTATCAGAGCCGTTAAAACTTAAGTTATTAGCTTTAAAAGATCAAACATGGGAGATATGGAAGAAGGAGCAAATGTTCAACGACCACCACTTCTAAGGGGACCAAACTACAAATTCTGGAAGGGGCGCATGAAGGCTTTCCTAAAATCAGAAGGTGGAAGAGTCTGGAGAAGTGTTGAAACTGGATGGCAGACACCTACAAAGCCGGTTGAAGGATCAGACGCTAAAATTCCCAAAACATTTGAGGAATATTCGAAGGAAGAAGCTGCAGCTGCTGAATGCAATGACAAGGCGTTAAATGCTTTGTTTGGAGCGGTGGACAGTTCTCAATATAGACTCATTGCTAATTGCACTGAAGCAAAGAAGGCATGGAAGATTCTTGAGACAACTCATGAAGGAGATGAAAGAGTTAAGACAGCAAAATATCAAATTCTCATGACCAAATTTGAAAATCTTCGAATGGAAGACAAGGAAAGCATCACTGAATTTCATGGCAGAGTGAGAGACTTGGCAAATGAAGCAGAACGACTTGGAAGACCTTTTGAAGAGGACAATCTTGTTCTAAAGGTACTGTGTGCCCTACCAGAAAGCTATTCAGTTGATGCCAAGGCTATACGTCAAGCATATGATCTGAAAAGGATGACACTGGATCAACTAATGGGAAATCTTGAAACTATTGAGTTGGCCATGTCATAGGAACAAAAGAAGAAAAAGGCTGAAAAACTAACAGCATTTCAGGTGGGTGATCTCGACCTAAAAGATGATGTCATATCAGATGATGATTTTCAAAAACAACTTTCACTGGTCACCAAGCAGTTTACAAAAAGGTGGCTCCAAAGAAAAAGGAAACAAGCTTTCATCCAAGATCCTCAGAGAGGCTCCCAATCCAGAATGTTGAAAGAGAAAGAGTTCAAGATGCAACCGTCAGAAACAAGGAGAAAGGGACCACAGTGCTTTGAGTGTGGTGGTTTCGATCACATTCAAACTGAATGTGCCAATAACATGAAAAAGAAAAGGCAGGCGTTTGCCTCAACATGGAGTGATGAAGAGCCAGACACTGGAGATACTGATGAAGAAAGTAACTGTGCCTTTGTCACATTAGAAGTACAGGAAGATTCTGCAGAGCAACTAAGAACACTCCAAGAAAAGTGGAGTGACCTGCTTGATATAAACAAGAGGAATGTATCTAAAAATCTCCTTCTAAAAACTAAACTGCAGATCTGTGAACAAACTGTTGAGAAGTTGCAACATGAGCTGAATCAAAAGGAAACAGAAAATGCAAATCTGAGGCATGAGCTCAATCATCACATGAAGTATCAGAAATGGATGAATAAAGCAAGAGCTGGAATCTCACAAGAATGGATGCTAAGCTCAGAGGCAAGGGCTATTGAGCACCAAGTTGATATTTCTAAAATGTATGGAGATAGGACTAGACTGGGTTATCCAAGAGAAGAATTAACCAAAACACCATTAGATCTCTTTATCAACCAAAATGACGCCGGGGAGAAGACAGACAGCCTGCCTGTTAAAGCCTCACAACAACAACTGCTACACCACAAAGAAATTAGAGGTACAATAAATACACAAGAAACCCATATATATATATATATATGAAAATTATAGGTGCTATCGATGTAAAGAATGGGGAAACATTAGAAAGATGTGTCGAAGAATCAAAAGGGGAAGACACAGAACTCCCAGAGTCAAGCAGATATGGGTGCAAAAGCATGTGGCATCACATGCAAACTCATGCATGCGTGTCACACCAGAGCAATGGCGGCTGGATAGTGGATGCTCACATCACATGACTGGAGACAATAAAAGTCTGAAAAACATACAGGAGATAGAGGGAGGCAGCGTCAGATTTGGAGGAGGAGAGCATGGACAAATCATTGGATGTGGAACATTAAATGTCACTGGACTTCCACCTATAAAGAATGTTTGGCTGGTCAAAGGATTACAAGTAAATCTCCTAAGTATCAGTCAGATATGCGATCAAGGTCTAGAAGTGACATTCACTCAACAAAAATGTTGTGTAAAAGACAAAAATTAGTTGCTTGTGTTAGAAGGTGACAGAACCACAGACAACTGCTATAGAGTGAGTCCTAACATCCTGTGCTACTCAGCAAGTGAGAAAGATGCCAGACTATGGCATTACAGATTAGGGCACATCAATTACAAAGACTTGACAACTTTGTCAAATTCAGGAGCTGTGAGAGGTTTACCAAAAATCATAAAAATAAAAGATGAGGTATGCAAACCATGCTAACTTGGTAAACAGGTCCATTCAAGTCATCCAAAGAAAACCTTCAGAACAACCCAGCAACCACTTGAACTACTTCATCTTGATCTATTCAGATCTATGAAGACTGAAAGCATAGGAGGAAAGAGATTTGTACTTATGGTTGTAGATGACTTTACAAGGTATACCTGGGTGAGTTTCCTGAAGCACAAGGATGCTGCACTAGAAGCTTTTGCAGCCCTATGCAACAAAGTACAAAATGAGAAGCAGCTAAAAATAAAAGGAGTCATCCGAATACGAAGTGACCATGGAGGTGAGTTTGAAAACAAGCCCTTTGAAGAATACTGTGATCAACAGGGGATATGGCATGAGTTCTCTGCACCAAAGACACCACAACAAAACAGAGTAGCTGAAAGGAAAAATAGACATGTACAGAAAATGGCATGTACCGATACAAACCCGAACCGATACAAACCCGAACCGATACAGACCCGAATCGATATAAACCCGAACCGAAATCGAACCGAAACCGAAAACCGGTCAAACCGAAATAAACCCGGAACCGAACTGACCCGACCCGAACCGACCCGAACCGATTATAACATATATCCGAAAGAGACCCGAACCGAAAAGACCCGAACCGATTGACCCGATTGCCAGGTCTACCCGGATGGCTTGGTTTTTGGTTTGGGCGAACACCAAGTGTTTTTAATATGTTTAAGAATGTTTGAAAATAATTTTGATGATATGTAAAATGCAATAAAAAAATGTTTTAGCCTAAAGAGCCAAAGTGTAAAGTTTGGGTCGGTCTTGATCACATTGTGACCGACTCAACGACGCTAAAGACTACGGTCTTCGTTCTTGGTCTCTTTTAGCTCTTGTTCTCTTGCTTTCTTCTTATATTTATTTCTCGCCTTGTATATTTAACGACTTGTCTCGTTCACGGCGGTTTGGCATTATCAAAACCTGTCATAACAACGAACACGGCTTTAGTACGAAAACGTGATAAACCCGTGTTTCAACAATTTCCCCCTTTTTGATAATGGCAAACAAGACGGGGTTATGCATAGGAGGATTGATTTGAGACTTAAAAAATGTTCCCCCTTAATAAATGCAATTTTCTTTTCAACAAAGTTTATGTGTTGAATAAGAGTTAGTTTTAAAAAAACTTCCCCCTCAATCTATGCATAACCTTTATATCTTCCTCCTTTTGACATTAACAAAAAGAATTAAAAGTAAACTTTTATTCATTAAAAGGGAAATGCGGAATACAACGGATAAAAATACAATCATATTTAATAAGGAGAACATAAAGAAGAGGTCGTGGCGTCGGTGTTGGCATTCTCTGAAGCATCGGTTTTGGTCCTTGACTTTCCGCTCGTCATTGTTGAAGCGTTTAGAAAGTGAGTAGAGGCTTAAAGTATGCAAAAGGAATGTAAATTGTGTTTTAAAAATAACCAAGGATAGTTAATATTTATAGAAAAAGAGAATTTGGATTGTTGGTCTTATGGGGGACCATCGATCGCCCTTAGGGATTCGCTACTGTGCTTGTCACAGTATCGGGTATTGACAGCCCAACCTGACGAGGTACATGAGTCGTGTATCTTGCGAAGCCCCTCCTGTCCATCCACCGCTCAGTAGTGGGGCTCCGCACTGCCGTAGTGAACTATAGGGGGTGCCCTATAGGAATCTACCTCGGCTTGGGGCTACAGAGAGATGTGGTTAAATACAAAGTGTCCACCTCCCTATCACCAATTGGTTTTAGGAAGCATTTGACACCTCTTTAACTTCAGAACTCTGTAGTTAAGCGTGCTGGAACGGGAGTAGTCCCAGGATGGGTGACCCACTAGGAAGTTCCAGAAAACGATCCTACAAGTGGTATTGGAGCAAGGAAGCAGGCTCGAATCCCCCGGGTGTCGCTGGGGGGGAGATTGTTGGTCTTATGGGGGACCATCGATCGCCCTTAGGGATTCGCTACTGTGCTTGTCACAGTATCGGGTATTGACAGCTCAACCTGACGAGGTACATGAGTCGTGTATCTTGCGAAGCCCCTCCTGTCCATCCACCGCTCAATAGTGGGGCTCCGCACTGCCGTAGTGAACTATAGGGGGTGCCCTATGGGAATATACCTCGGCTTGGGGCTACAGAGAGATGTGGTTAAATACAAAGTGTCCACCTCCATATCACCAATTGGTTTTAGGAAGCATTTGGCACCTCTTTAACTTCAGAACTCTGCAGTTAAGCGTGCTGGAACGGGAGTAGTTCCAGGATGGGTGACCCACTGGGAAGTTCCAGAAAACGATCCTACATTGTAGAGTTTAGATCAATGAATAGATCGAGTCTATTGACATTGAGGGTGTAAACTCTGATTTGATATAGTGGGAAGGCTGTTACACTGACGTGGGCCTCACAGACGTAGGAGATATTGCTCTGAACTGCGTAAACAATTTGTGTGTTGTGTGCTGTTCTTTTCTAATCTTAATTGTTTACTTAACGGTTGGTGTAGCACTCTGTCTGATAACTTGGTCTTAATCAGTGCATTCTCTGTCACAACCTGCAAGTCTTAGACTTTTTATAGGTTGTATATTGAGGGTAGTGAAACTTTCCCAAGTTAGTTGATCACATCTATGCAGTCTATGCTATCTAAAATTTCATTCTCAATACGTATTATATATGGCCAATCTGCTAAGTCTTTTTTGAGGTATTGTGAACCGTTAGTAAGATTTTGGCAACTTCAATTTGGAAAACTTCTTTCAGCAGATGTCACCACTAATGGAATAGTCAACAAAATTTTATTTGTATGTACATACATTTGGGAAATAACCACCTTCTTTTGAAACACTTCCCCGGTCCTTTCCTTTTTCATTCGTTCCAAAAAACATTTCTCTTTTCCTATTAAAAGGTCACTTTTACCCCTATTAATTCTTAACCTACCCATCACATCACACTTTTTCACTATTAATCTACTCATCCCATCATATTTTATCCATCACATCAAAGAGCATTTTTGGAAAGTCAACACCAAAATACACTCCCCTTAAGTTCTTTAAAAGTCAAAATTAGAAGTTTTTTAAGGGATGGAGGGAGTATATTTTATTTTTATTTCATTTAAGAAAATTAAGGATTAGTTTCAAAATGTGTATTTGTCAACTTTTAACGTTTTTAGTCAAAATGGTAAACTTTGACCTCAAATTAAATAAAAATGATATTAGATATTGATAAATAAATAATTTTATTAGATTTATTATATGAAGTATTTTCAAAATATTATTTCACCTGATTAATATACAATATATATTTAATTAATTATAGGTCAAAATTTAAAAATGATGGACTGAAAAAAGTCAAAACTGAACAAATTTTTGGATCTGAGGGAGTAGTAGTAGTAATTTATTCTCCCATATCAATCATGCTCTTGTTACTTGTTACCGAAGGCCAGGAGATCAAAACAAAGTATGAAACAGAATGCTAGCATAAAATTAAACATGGAAAAACTTGAGGTACACCACCTTGCAACACACTTACCAAATCCCATTAAACATTTCCTCTTAAACATATACTCCCAGTCTAGGGCAAAGTAGCCAGGTATGCCAAGCCAGCCGCTTACACTTTGCCATTATTTATTTATTTATTTATTTATGCGACTTGTACAATATATGTGTGTGTATATGTGTGTGTGTGTATGTGTGTGTGGATGATGATGAGGCATCATCAAATCGGGTGGAAGAAGACGGAGTACATGCGTTGTTTGACGATGTCATCTTGACGGGCGACACCATCTCCGTACTGGTAAAAGAGCTGAGAGGTTCGTGCTAAATTGAGGACAGCCGTGACGAAATCTGGGAAGAAATGGCGGCGGGGCTGGTAGGTCATGACGACCCAGGTGTTCATCTTCCTCCAGTTGTCTTGGATCAATCCGCGGATGAAACCGCGGGCATCTTCTTCGGAACACCCAGCTGGGTTGTCGTTCATGTGACACTGGACCGCCTTGGGGACATCTCCCCTCTCCATCTCGTCCGAGGATGTCCCCAAGTCGTCGCTCAGGCGGAAAATGGTGGCACAATACCGGATGATTGTCTGGTCTTCCAGCAGGAGCTGCAGATCTTCTGCTATCTTCTCTTTAGTATTCTCAGCCGTCGTCTCCCCAGCAGCTGCTGCGGCCACCGCCATGCCAACATAAGCTTCCGTTAGCACTAGCGGCGCACTGATGGATACCCACCCGTTGTCCAAGTACTCTTTTAGGCTTGGTTTCTCTCTCCCGTGGTACCACTTTGCTTCCGCCAAGTATGCTTTAGCTAGCCCAACCCACTACATAATTCATGACATCCACTCATCATCACACGTGCGTATAAAAAAAAACTTTTTTTCTTTTGAACTTTTTGAATTAAATAGTCACATTCTTCGAATATAAATTGTCATTAAATTATATACTCCTTCCCTCTCTTTAAACATTTCCCATTTTGACTTTGGACAAAAATAAAGAAAGTATAACTTTAGTTGACTTTTCAATTTTGTCTCCAATGTGATGCGTAAAATTAAGATGTTGTAGTTTGATTATTAGGGAAAAAAGTATGATGTGATAGGTAAGGTATGAAAAAGTGGGGGTAAAAAGAGTTTTTTAATAGAAAGTGGAGTGTTTTAGGAAATTGTAAAAAAACTAAAGGGGAAAGGTTTTATAGAACGGATGGAGTACATTTTAATTATGATATAAATTCATTATAATTGGGTTCATCTTAAAAAATAATTTTGATATATCAAAATTGTATATCATTTGTTTATTTAGATTTGTTTAATTTATATCATTATATCATTATATCATTATATATATATATATATATGTATGTATGTATGTATGTATGTATGTATGTATGTATGTATGTATGTATGTATGTATGTATGTATGTGTATATATGTATATATATATATATATATATATATATATATATATATATATATATATATATATATATATATATATATATATATATATATATATA